CAGAAATAAACTAAACATTGATTTAGCTTGTTCCCTGATATTTGGCCAACCCAATTTCTTTCTAAATCAATCAAGGAACAGGTTAAATCAACGTTTAGTTGATTTCTGTTCCACTAGATGGCGTTCTGCCATCTAAAAAGTACATGTGCTCCTGGTCAGTATATGCCTTCTTTATTTTTAATATCTATAAATAAGAAAAAAAATCAATTTAATACAAATTCCTACAGGGATGAGACTTAACCTTGAGATTGTTGTCGCAGAGATCCATCCGCAAGAGCCGATCGTACGTGTGTAAAGGCAGAGGACTGGAAGTGGACAAATGTGCCGTAGACAAGACCCGTCGCAACCAATGCCGAGCCTGCAGGCTGCGCAAGTGTATCGAAGCCGGAATGAACAAGGAAGGTGAGTTGACATAGAACATTTGGCAAAGCGTTTTAATTTTTATTGCTCCTGACGAGGACAAAACTGTCAAAACGTCGAGACAATAAAAAGATTTACTGACTGAAGTATCTTTAATTTGAAGAACTATGAATGCCGGCCAGGCAGCCTCTATCTTTACAATGTATTATTGAGTTATATAATGGCCTGGAGCAAATTCATTAGAAGCGCGAAATGATAAGGTGAAATGTTTCTTTCAAAGTTTTTTCGTTATTTTGCCGAACTTTACTGCCCTTCACACACAACAGAATAAAAATAGAATCTTCTATAACAGAAAGCTCGAAAAAAAATAATAAACTTTGAAAGAAAACTTTTGCCTTATCATTTCGCGCTTTTTACATGTATTAATCGACAGAGTTCATAAAATGTATATAGACAAAATGTAAGAGAGTAAAATCATTTAGATCAGGGAACAATCTCACTTCTGTAAAGTTCGGACAGTCGTAGATAAGGTGAAGTTTGTTCAGTTTCTCCGCAGGAACAATTTGGAGAACTACCTATAGATACGTTGTAAAATGGTCTCAAGTTCGATAAAAATCACCCAAGATTACACTCTACCTTTTAGTTTTTTTATAAGAATTAAAGCTTTATTTAACGTTACATATATAATTAGTTACATAAAATGTGTCAATAAACAAGCCAGAAAGAATGTGTACAGAATTATATTTGAGTCGCTAAAATCAAGTCTTTTTCTCCATCATATTGGTTACTAGAAGAATGACCCGGCTTCGCCCGAGAAATCCCCCGAGTGAAGTATCCTTCATACTGAAAGTACATCAATAATAAATAGTAGAAGTGTCATAGAATAGCAATACAGAAGAAACACAAACTACAGGAAAAAAGTGTGTAATGGCAAAAATTGTATTATATTAGTGTTTAGGTATTTGATTTAATTATTTTTACAATCCATTTAGTTGTTTCAAAATTAATAGAGTTTAAATAGACGGCAGCTTTTCCACCAAACCCCCATTAACCTTTGAAATTGCCCGAGTTGAGTGACTGACTGTAAAGAATTCTGACTGCGATGCCCATCTTCTCAGTAAGAAAAAAAAAAAGGTTTATAAAAAATTCAATCCAAAATACTGGCATGTAAAATTTTTCTGTAAAAAAAAAAAGAGCATATGGAAATATTAGGCAAACATATGTGTTCGCTAATGATTGCGATTGCATTTTAAACGATTTTTAAAAAGAGATTTAAACAAATAAAGGCCAGAACAAAAATTAATAAAACAATGGTTGCCGGTAAAGTCGGTTTTACGGGCGAAGATTTTACGTGACAACGGTAGAATATTTATTGATATGAAATAATAAATTGCACAATAGGAACAAGGAATTGAATGAAAATAAAATTGCACAAATTTTAACTATAGAAATATAATTTTGTTTACTAAAACATTGTACATGTAAACTTAAACTTAACTAATACTAATACTAATACTAATAATAGGGTACTGCAGGTACTGCAGACGTTGACGGCACGATATCCTCCGTCTCCATTGAAGTACTGGAAGTTGAAGGCACCGTTTCCATTGTTTTGAGAGTGGTGATTCCTGTTGAACATTTGAAATTGAATGGATGAATTTTTAATTTAAAGAATCAATTTGAAAATCAAAACACTTATTCAGATCGAAGGTTCAAATTTTTGCTAAATAAATTCGAAATTAAATAAAATTTGTAATTGTAAATGATGAAGTTGAAAATTAAAACATTTACTTATATTAGATGTTAAAATTCTTGCTCAACACAGTTTAAATAAAGTTTTCTTATATCTGCCACTTTTTCTTAATATTTGTAATTTTAAATAATCAATTCGGAAATCAAAACATTTATTCAGATCGAAGGTTCAAATTTTTGCTAAATAAATTTGAAACTATTTAAAATTTGTAAAATAATAATTAATTAATTAATTAATTTTAAACTAATAATTTACTTAACACTATCAACATTTATCAATAGTATGACATAACCTATAAACTCAGTTTCTCAACTTTTGTGTCAATCTAACAATTAATCAATTAATCATAGTTTACGATAATGAAATATCAGTGTACAATTATTTACCTTTATTGTTGTAGTTGTTGTAAATGACGAATCTAAGCACTCCACATTTTCACTACAGACACAGCTGACGATACTTTAACCACACGTGTGAACTTGTATTATGACGCTTTCTTGTTTTTTCCAACGCCAAGAACGTTCGAGAAAGACAAAGACAGAGACAAGCATGCGCCGATTCAATGCGCCTAATTCTCTAGCGCTGCGCGCGCAGCTGCGCGCGCAGCACTCTCGTTCGGTGACTCATCGTAACGTTACCGGGCGTTACACTTTTTCATAAGTGACTCCCAGCCGCAACTTAATTTAAGACGTTGTCACGTCAAAATATGAAATCCATTATTTACATACATTCACAAAAGCAAACGATGACAGAATTGATGACTCTGATACTTGTATATTTTAATTAAAACCAACACCATATATTGTATATTTAGTTATATATCCTTAGTATATCAATTGTTTCTTTATTAAAGACTGCCTCGATCGAAAACGAAGTTCGAATTGATTTTTTAACGTATAAATATAATTTTAGCAAAAGACATATCTTGTGATGACCAGCCGGCAATGTCATTATGTTACAGAAATACGTTATGTGGAATTTAGGTTACACAAATTTCAATAATTCAGTACATCAGTAGTTTACAGTAGTGGATGACGAAGTTCGAATTGATTTTTTAACGTATAAATATCATTTTTAACAAAAGTACCTTCTCTTGTGATGACCAGCCGGCAATGCCATTATGTCACAGAAATACGTTACGTGGAATTTATATTATTTAAATTTTCAATAAAATCAGTAAATCAGTAGTTCTCAGCTATAGATGTCATAGTTGTGAAAACAGGAATGATATTTAATAATTTTTAATTGCGGTTAAACCCGTTGATCTAATTTCAACAAAAGACAAAAATATATAAGTTAACTCATTTTGCAGATTTATTTTGAATTTTATTTATAAAAAAAAAAATACAAAATTCTATTGTGGAAAGCTTTTATATTAAACAAACTCTGTTTTGAATAGTTTGTATTGTGAATGATCTAATATCTTGTATATTTTCATTCTAAAATATTCCTTAAGACTTTCTTCAATCTGTAAATTGTTTTCCTCGAATACACACAATACTTTACAATTGGATTTCATTTAACTAAATTTGCATACCAACTATTTTATACATATCTCAATTGTGTTGATATTTTATCTCTTTTCATCTAACTAACTTGCATACTAATTCTTGTACATATTTCAAATATCTTTCTTCTCTTTCTATGTTAGTTTAAAGTGTAAGTGTCCCTAGGGAGCATAGCGTTCTAAGTCGAAATAAAATAAAAGGTTTTGAAAATAGAGCAATCCTTAGATAAATCTTTAATCAAAAAGACATATATTGATCAAAATATAATTTATTTTACCAATATTTCAGTTGGCTGAATGCCAACCTTTATCAAGGTGTTATAACATTTTAAAGTGTGTCAACAACAAAATGTTATAATAACATATAAATAACAATAATGTTATAATACCTTGATAAAGGTTGGCGTTCAGCCAACTGAAATATTGGTAAAATAAATGATATTTTGATCCAATATATGCCTTTTTAATTTAAAAAAATAGAGTAAAAGGTATATATAATATTATTTGATAATATACGTGAATAGAAACACATTGCCAATAAAATAATCATTACAAATGTTATCGATAAATGGAAATTAAATTTATAAATTTGATATTTTACACGAAAGGTTGGAGAGGAAAAAGTTATCGGTCAGATGGGTATTTATCACGGTGGACAACAATCAGACGCCAACACAACAAAGAGCAAAGTTTGAAACAATATAAGCGAGGTACAAAGGAGTTTTGCGTCAACTATGATTGTTGAAGAGACCTGGATTCATTATAATATCCTTGAAACTAAGCAACAATCAAAACAGTGGAATACCTGTTCTCGATTTTTAACTATTTTTATTGGGTATATAAGTGAAAGTATATTTTTAAAACTTTATACATAATTTTAATTCTGTTTATAGACAATTATATATATTGTCATAACCAAAAATGTACATAGCCTGTAACTGTAAAAAATTTATGTGTCATCTTTCTGGATAGTTGGCGACTTTAGTACGTGGTGATGGCTTCAGTAATCCAGGTTACCTCAAGAAAGAGCTGTGTCATCCTGAAGTTTGTCTTCCCTAACTTACCCAGCATCTACATCAAAATACCACGTGGAAAATTAGGAAAGACAAAAACTTCAGGATGACACAGCAATTTATTTAAGGCAAGACCAAACTATGAATGATTAAACAAAATATATGCAATGAGGGAAGTTTACAGAGTAAGAAAAAAATAAACATAAAAAAATGAAAAAAAAAAACGACATTTGAAATCATACCGCATGTGTTTCTTTTCAACGAAAAATCAAAATTTATTTCAAGGAGAAATAACGATTATTTCTAACCTTAGGAATGAGATATGAAAGGATGAATTGTGAAGATAATGAAAACGGAAAAATAAAAGTGTCCAAGGAGGGAATCGAACCCACAGTGTTCCGCTTACCGGGCAGATGCCATGTCCACTATGATACTCTGTTAATAAAATAATACTTTGCTACAATTCAAAGGCGGTTTTATTTGTATATTTATTGACAAACCTTTTATAGATGTTTCAAACAATCTGATTCGCCTTAAACACGTTTAGAAAACAATTATGAAACGATTTTATTGAAAAAAAAGAGCCTCGTTTTAACGTTTAACGGTTTTTAAGTCGCCGCAAGGGCTTTGACAAACGACGTCATCTGGCGACACACGTCACCCAGGGCTATCCATGTCCCCAGCCTGGATCGATGCTTGGAGTTAATGGATCCCTGAAGAATCCTATCATTACCAGAGCGTGGTCCTAATAGAGGCAGAGAACAGCTGCAACGACACCGCCCACACGCGTCAGGGTATGCAAATAGGGGAGCCTGAATGGACAAATTGGACGGCTAGGTCTGAATTTAAAAGCGATCCCCCCCGTGGCGTCAAACCCCCTCCCCCAGCCCGGCCCAGAAACACGGCCCTGACAATCGCAGAGCGGTGACAATTTTCAGCTCATCCTCGCCACCAAGCCACTTCCTCTCTCCATTGTTGGCGCTTCATCGAGTATTCACTCACAACAATGACCGAAATTACCTCAATGTGTCTCTTTTATAGGAAACCATCCTACAAATCTTCCTTTAAACTATTGTCAACTTTTCATTGAAAATGGTTCTTTATTTTAAAAAGAAACATACGCATCAACAATAGATAAAATTTCTTATAACAGCGAGCTAATGTATGTGTTACGGGTTAACACACAAAAATAAAGAGTAAAAAGCCTACAGTAAAACACATCAAACAATATTGAGTTATCCAGCTCAAGGCAAAGCTCTTTATTTTACACAAATAAACTTACTGGCAATGCGTTTCTTTTAAATATCATCAAAATATCTCTACAGACCTTACTGCATTGATATGAGTTATTGAAATGAGAGGGCTTGGCTCATCAGTAGTGAACCCTCTCAGCGGTTTCGCCAAATTAATCTCTAGACCGCTCTACTATTGTATTGGATTGGTTTGAAATATACCCTGTATTTTCTATGGAAGGCAGCTTAGGGGTGTTTAAGGAACTATGGACATAAGCTCATAGGTCTGTAGAGGAACATACATATAATTTCAAGGTATTGCATCGAGCAAAGCTCTTCCGCAAAATATGTTTTCATAACAAATATATATTAGTAAATTAAATTTAATTGCCATCTAGAGATAATATTTGATGATATTTAAAAGAAACGCATTGCCAGTAAATTTATTTGTGTAAAATTTTAACGATAGATGGCAATTAAGTTTGATTTACTAATAAGTCTTTATATACGTCTGTGATCTCCTCACATACCTCCGCTCTCCGCTACAATAAAAGTATTGGTTTTGTTATAACTGACCGAGTGGTTTTATTTACGTTTTATTTTGTTGTATTTCTGAGTGTTTTCTCTCTGTTAAGTTACTTTAGGCCCTAGGGGGTCGGTGGAAGGATGGTCTAAACCGTTGGTTTTGACTACTACGACCTGGGTTCGATTCCCGCATTGGGCACCTTTTTCTGATTTAAAAAATGCTCCAATGGCCCCCGATTCTTGCAAAAGTCCAACCCCACCAGCGAGTACAAGTAACCAAACAGGGCTCTGGCACATTTGTAAGTGCAAAGTTGAACTGCTTTTCACTGCGTAGACATGTGGTTCACTTACAGTAAAAGCAGTCGCCCACTTCTACCCACCATGATTATCATGGCCTGTACCACGTGTACTAGGGGTAAACAAAAAAACTATAGGTCCTAGTACGTTGCACTTAGTGTTTTATCCCGTAATAGTAACTTTTGTCAGACAATGTCACTAACACCGCCGTGATGTCCAGCTGTGCAACATGAGCGTGGTCCCCGTAACTCCACTCTGAAGCGGCAACAGTTGAGCGGAGTCTACCAGAGGCCAGATGTCCCTACACCCCCGCTGCTGCCCCCCTCGCTCTACCCCCCCTCCCAGGTCCCTGCTTCTACCCATGTGACTTCCCCCCACCTTCAAGCACTTTCTGCCAGCCCCTGTACCAATAGTAAGTCACAGTATACGTACAGGATTTAACACTCTCACTACATCAGCATTGAGATAAAACTAAGTACAAAATCGTGAGAACAAGAATTTCTTGTATTTTTACGAGAATTTCTGTACTTCTACAGGAGCAAAAATGAGAACATATAAGAGGATAAATTGTTATAAAACATATCTGCATATTAACACAAAGCAATAACGCGCAATCTATATATAACAAATTAAACATTAAGACAACAATGCCACTTTTCACAAATAAATAAAACTTCTACTGTCCTTACTGCGATGAAAAAATATTGGGAGGGTTCACCACTGATGAGCCCCCCAAGACCTTCCAATATTTATTTATTTTTTTTTTTCATCGCAGTAAGGACAGTAGAAGTTTGATTTATTTGTGAAAAGAAACATTCGCGTCTAAATGTCTTCATTCGGTATATCTGCATATGTTGTAGTGATGAGAATATTTTCCTATTTAATATAAGTTCAAGAAGACTTTTACTTTCTAACACACACACACATTCCACAAAATATTTATTAAAGATTTAATAAAAAATAAGCCTACACATTTTGAGCCTCATCATGTCTCTATCCTCAGATTACACTCAACTAACTTATATCTACACATATCAAAGTATGCAAACAATAATTAAATTTACATATATTCAATTCATAAATCAAATAAACTCTTTTATTAAATTATATATTTACATATTTCCTCTTTCAACTTTAATATGATGATCAAATATTGTCACAGAATAATCTGTGGTGGCCTACACGGTTTATCATGTGTCACGTGACGTCAGCTTTCTTTACAGATCCGCCCTTTCATATTAACCTATTTGATGGATCGCCTGTTGACTCAAACGACAATTCTGCGCAGTTCTCGGAGGCTCTCCACTGCAACTACCTTTACATCATCTATGCGAGGAGGCCGCGCAGCTCCTCTTCCGCTGTCTCAAGTGGATCAAGGCGGTGCCCGAATTCCTAAGGCTGCCAGCTGTCGATCAGTGAGTGGACCTATAGTCATTCCTGCGTGTACAGGATTTGGAGAATTAATGATATCATTAGGTCTATCACAACTTCAAACCAAATGAAATTTTACGCACATACACTCTGTAATTTTCGTATATTGATAAAACGTTACTTTTATGGGTTATCACACAAAAAAAAACCAATAAACTAGGACCTACAGTAGGAGTAACTTAATACACAGAAAAACGTACACTCAAAAGTACAACACCAACAACAAAAAGGGGTAAATAAAAAAACACGATTTGTTAAATAAAATAAAAACAGTACTTATCTTTTATTTGCAACTTTGATACGGAGCGGGGTTACACAGGTATGCGAGGAGAATCACCAGACAAGCACACAGAGAACGCTTTAAACGTCTCCACTCGAACACCACTCCTGACTCCTCGCATCCCGTTTCAACCCTCTTTTATGTACAAACATGGCCACATTGGTCCAATGACGTGGAGATCAGTTAACAAACATTCTTCCCGCATAACTGAGAAGTTTAAAACTGCCTGTTAAATAATTTGACAATATAACTAATCTATTTTATTACTTGAATTCATAGAATACCATTTCTTTGAAAATATATTCAAACTGCAGCACTCTCGCTGGATTATAATCTTTAAGGACATTGAATTTAACTAAATTCAAATATTTTTCAGAATTATTGAATTAGCCAATTTAAAAAAATCATATTATTTAGCCGTAATAATGAGCCAAAAACAAAAAATATACACACACATATACAGCTTTCTTAAGATCACCGGTCATAGAAATTATCCTAATCATTAACTATTATTTCATATATATATGCTGTAAAAAGATTTGTGATTTTAGAGGATTTTATATAGATTTATTGATCATTTGCTTGATCCCGGAATCCATGAGTATGTGACACTGAAGTCGTGGCAATAATTAAATAAATTTAGTTATCAAAAATAGCTTTAACTAAAGGAATATAGAAAAACCTAATTTGATAAAAGTACTGCCTGGCTTAAGGCGTAAGAATCAAAAATGAAAAGCTTATTTACATAATATACAAAAGGTTTGAGCCGGCCATCGGGGGAAACAACAACAATGAGTTTTTATAGGGGAAGCGTGACCTCTGGCGGTCGAATTAGCATAGTTTTGAATCTATGAAATAT